ATTCTCAGCCTACTGCAATCTGGCTTCCTTCTCCTGACTCCAAAATATGCTGGAAGGATCGAGTAGGAGAAGCCCATCATGGGTTGAATTTTGTCCTCTCAAAATTCATATGTTGAAGTCCTAACTCCCAGTACCTCAGAATCTGGACAGAGAGAGAGACACTCAGGGAGGCTACCATGTGAGGATGAAGGCAGAGATCAAGGGGATGATTCTACAAGCCAAGGAACACCAAGCCAGAGAAAGGCATGACACACACCCTCCCTCCCAGCCCTCGGGGGGAACCGGCCCTTCTCACACCTTGATGTTGAACTTCCAGCTTTCAGAACTGGGAGACAATAAATTTATGAAGTGTATGTGGTTTAAGCCACACAGTTTGTGGTACTTTGATACAATAACCCAAGAAACTAATAAAAGCCCATTCTAGAAAAAAGTAAACCTGGACTCTATAGACTCACGCCTTCAACTCAGTCACTCAGGAAAGGCTTTCCCCAAACTTCCATGCTTAACCCTCTCCTCCTGGGGAAATCTCAGCCATCCAACAGCTTCCACTGTCACCTTGAGACCAGTTTTTCCAAGTCCATACGTCCAGTTCTCTCTCTCTTCTTTGATCCAAATATATACTTCTAACTGCTTGGATTTTCCTGCTAGTACTGCCTCAGATTTACCCCAAATCTGCTGCTGTTTCTGAGTAAATGACATCTTGTCAGTTAATAGCATCACCATCCACCCAGTCAGCCAAGCTAGATATGAATTATACTCAACTATTCCCTCTTCTTCAGTCCCTGTATCAGCTGACTCCAGTTAAATCTACCTGTGAAAACCTGAATCCATTTCATCCTTTCCAGCTGTGCCGTCACTGGTTCACACCCTCATCCTTACTCGCCCCGACTGCTTCCAGAAGTCTTGTAAAGGCTCTTCTGCCTCCATGCCACTCTCTACACTTTTTACAAAGTTTCCCATCTAAAGAAGTCTATCTTGTCTAAAGTGATGTCAAGCCACTGAACTGCAGAGCAAGTTTGTTTGCTGATGCAGAAACTAATTATGCTGACTTATATCCATCAATGAGTTTTATACTCCTGTATGTTTTGTTCTGATTCCTACGTTAAGGTGTATTGGTTTCATATCAAATTGCCATTTGAAAACATGTATGTCAGAACATTTTCAGCTTATTGAGATAGTATGTACTTTGAGAAATTTTAAAATAAAAATCAAAGAATATCATGTATGCTGTCAGACTAAGTTCAGTTGCTTCTCCTCCTTGAAGATCATCTTAACTCTGCCTCCTGCCTGATCCCGCACTCCTTTTCCTGCCTCTTCATAGTGGTTTCTTCTGATCTTTGGTGTCTCTCCTTACCTGGTAGTTACTTGTTAGTCTCTTTCCCCTCCAGTCACATATTCCAACTAAACTGGAATCTGCTTAAGGTCAGGATCTGTACCTGATGCGTTTTTTTCAGTCCTCTTAAGCACTTCACGCAAAGTGCAAGGCCACTGTCTGTGCTCAGTAAATGTGGATTGAATGAGCTCAGTCACAGAAAGTAATAAATGGATTTTTTTTCATAAATGCACCATCTCTCTGGAAACCCACAGTGCTCACATTTTACATTACGAGCTCATTTCAGAGTGATTGGATGCCTTTTATTGGCTAATGTCTGCCATGTGGTAATGTCTTCATTTGCTGAGTTGATGTTCCAAATCTTACAATTCTTAGTCATAATTATTAGTTTTCCCCTGAATTTTGTGCTTCATTGAGGTTTTAAAGGGTAAAATTAACCTCCCAGCTTTTCCTCCATAAATTTATAATTTCATTGTGATTTCATTGCTATACTGGCTTCCAATTCAGAGGTTTGTCCAAAGTTTAGGTGATTATGTGTCTGTTGTTTTTCTCCTCACAGAAATGCAGTTATTTCTGCACAATCTAACTTGCCCAACTGTATAGCAATAGGCAGAGCAACATGATAAGGAATTCTAAATATTATTTACTTAGAATAGGTCTATCTTAAGGGAGCTAGAACTTTATTTTTTAACCAGTGTTAAAATTATATCTGAATTTATGAAAATAAAGACTCATTTACCTAATTTTCTTCCCTGCTTTAGCATCTGTTTATCTGGTTAACACTGTCTGCAGAACACAACACCATAAAAAGTGCATTAGCAAGTTCTACAGGGATTTCTTAAGCATAACATTTGTTTAGCTATTCAACAATATGGAAATTTGATTATTTAACTGGAGTATATGGCTCAAATTTCACTGAAGTTATATATGACTATATAGATTAAGAAATGCATTTGGGGATTTGTCATTTCTTAATACTGAGTAAAGCTGTCACAGACAGTAGACTCATACACTACATAATTGCTTGTAAATAGACACCTTTAAACACTTCAAAGGAAGAAAGAAGTGATCTAAGAGGTGAGAAAAACTACTTCAGTCTGGCTGAAATCTAAACTTGGATGAATCACAAAACTTCTTGAAATCCTCGGGATGAGAGTGAGGGGGTTAGAATACTTACCTCAGTTTGTCCTTTATAAAATTAATGTGTAAAATCATGCCTTTCTATCTGCTTTCAAACACTCAACACTGGGACCCACCCAGCTACCACCTGTATATGTATCCCTTCCTCAAACTGCGGACCAGTTACAGCCCCTTCAAAAGGAGAAAAAGAACCTGGGCCAGTAACTCAGAAGTTCAGCATCAAGTAGGTCTTGTTTCACATCTCCTAATAACCAGATTTGCCTTTTGCCATTAGTAAAAACCGTGTCTCATACCTTGAATTTAGTGACAGCATTCCATTGCCCCCGACTGTCTGCTCTGACTTGATCCCCATTCAGCTAAGTTCCGTGGTTGTCAGTACATTCTACAGACTAGAAGAGGCAGCACTGCGAACTTACTAGAAGTGTAAATTCTTGGGCCCCACCCCAGGCCTACTAAATCAGGAGCTCTGGGGTTGGTGTTCAGTAATTGGTGTTTTAGCAAACTCTTCAGGTGGTTATGATAAAAGCTGAAACTTAGGCACTATTGGGCTAATTCCTTCACTTCGGTTCCTGTCACGTGCTCCTCTGCTCTCTTCTAGTCTCTCCTCTAACAGAGCAAACATCTTCTGGAAAAGAGAGAGGTAGCAGCAGAGATTTTTGTGCTAGTTTCAACTGTGTGACTTTGGCAAGTGGGAGAGAAGTTGAAAATGGAATGGTAGTATGCTTTGCTTTTGCATATACTACAGAAAAATCTATAGTAAATGCTGCTATGATAAGTGAAAAAAAATTGTCAAAGTAGAGAGATATTAAAAGGGAAATTTAAGAGGTCTTACTCAAAATATTCTCTCTCCTGCCCCAGGCATTTTTAGAGGGACACCAATAAAAATGTTGTTTACTTTTTTTGGTAGCTGGGTTATGTTCTTTAAATTCAACACCACAGAGCCTGTACCATCTGAAATCAAATTAATATTCAGGTTTTACAAGGAAGTGACCTGCACAGCTCAGGGTGTTATTATACAAGGACAGCATGGGACAGACAAAAAAGAATCAGAAACCTCATTTCATCCCCGTCTGCCTTCTCTGAGATACTGTCCTCTTAGGAAGCCCCTCTCCCTTCTCCAACAGTTTCTTCTCCCTCAGTAATAAACCTAGGAACACCATCACCATCTCCTTAAAGTCTTTTTCAACCATGCACCACCCCCTAGGCACTGCCCTAAAAATGCTCTTTTGTTCACTTGCAAGCTTCTATAGAAAGAAATCCACTTTCAAAATCACAACTTAGCACCACTTCTTTATTCCTTACCCCAGTCTACCACAGCTCCATTCCCTCCATGTAAAGGAACTTCTATCTCCACATGCATCAGTAACCTGCTTATCACATCCAATTACTAATTTTTAGCCTTTACCTTGATTGATCTCTCTAAAGTATATGTTGACCAACCCTCTCTTGAAACCCATTCCTCTCATGATTTTCATTAACACATAATTCTCTATTTCTTCTTCTCTATGTGGCTACTTTTCCCCAGCATCCTTTTAAGCTCATCTTCTCCAGTTCTTCTTTTAAGTCTTGAAGCTCCCACCAAATCTGTCTTTGTCCCTCTTTTCTTCTTACCCTCTGCAGGTTTCCCGAGCAATGTTACCTTCTACTACCATCTCTCTTCTGTCTCCCCAACCTAATTTTTCCAGAGCATTATTCTGTCTTAGACTCTTAAATTTAATTTCTTGGTAGATTATATTCATCTGAAAATGCCAACGGAGGGTGACTCATCATCTTTCCCTCAAACTGTATTTGATCTACATGTTCTACCTCCCACTCATTGCAAAACCAGAAAGTTGGCCTTTATTTATATTTATCCTGTATTTATCCTTCTCCTTTAACCCTGTACCAAATCAGTTAATAAAAATTTCATTCTCTCTGTTCTCACTGCTACTGCCAGTCCTGCTATGCAAAATCTGTTGCCTGAATGATGGCAATAGTCTCAAAATATGTGTCTGTCCCCTTCACACTGTTGCAAATGAGAGGAAATTTAACTGCATAGAATTTCTCAATAGTTTCCCATCAAAGACAAGATAGAATCTACTGTCCCTTAAGTGCATTCAAAGTTCTTCATAACTCAGGCTGACTCATACCCAACCAGGCTGACTTCTACTTCCCTCTCCCCATTCCTGTAATTTTCAACTGTACTTCTATTGGAAGTACAGTTGAATGGAAGATTCAATGTTCTTCCATCCCTTTGTGTTTATTGCCATGAAGTTCTGTGCATAATGTCATCGCTTCACTCACAGTAATATTTTATAACCATCTCTTTGTCTCTCCAAGCTACTCCTTGCTATCTAGGACAATATCTTCATTTTTGTATATTCCTACACCTACCACAATGCTTCGCATATAAAAGATGGTCAATAACTAATTGCTTGATAAAAGGGATGAGTAATTCAATCAATGCCACTCATTCATTTTAAGATTCCCTACTTTCACTTGTATATGTAGAAAACACCTTATTCTCAATATTCAACTGAACACTTACCTCTGTGAAGAAATTTTCTGGTTCCCCAGGTGAAACTTACAGATCTTTTTCTGGTGATCTTTACATCGCAATTGTAGAAGATAATACATTTATCAAAGTGGTTATTTGCAGGCTTGACTTTTCCAGCAACCTAATTAATAAATACAGTTGGGCAAAAAAAAGAAAAAAAAAATTCAGACCATACAAGAAAAAAAATATCTCTAAACTGCATCTTACTAAAGAGTGTACCAGTTCCTAGTGGAGAAAAATTAAAAGTTAATCTCAAAAATTTAGATATACATGTATATTTTTTGTATAGTCTATTTTATTCCATTAAGCCTTTCAACTATCTTTATAAATGAGCAATTTAATAGCCGTTTCAAATATTCTAACAGATAGATATCTAAGTCAGGTGGACACAAATAACTATTGAAACCAAGGTTCTGATGCCCAAAGTAGCAAATGAGAGAAAAGAATAACCCTCAGGAATCAGTTAGTCAGCACTTAATCCTGACTACCTATGTTATACAAGCACAGCTGATTCATGTTTTTGTTTCCAATGAAGGGCTGTAAAAGGCAATTAAAACCATAACAACTTTCCTCTCCAGCTCCTGTTCCTACTGCTGCCTCCTATGGGAAGGGGCAGGAAGGGCATGACAGAAAACATGGTTTCAACATACATCACCCACTCTAAGAATAAATTAGGTACACTTTCTAGCTTTGTATTTAACATGGAGCCTAACATGTCATCTTTAACCTAGTAAGTGATCCAAGTATTTAGAAAGTGAATAAGTTAAATCATTTTATAATGCCAACTGTGTATTTATTACTTGATCAAAAGCATTTCCTCCTATTACTTTATTGCTCTTGCCACTGACATTCTGAAAACATGACCAAACAACTCACCGCTGATTGGAATTTAACTCTAGGACAAATAGGGTGGCTAGCTGCAAAGTCCTGAAAGGGACATAGTGAAAGCTTTTTATTAAATTTAGGAAAGATACACAATACCTATCACAGCAGATACAGATCATGGTACTCATGGATGACACTGTGTTGTCCCAGTACCTCTATTGCCTATCTACCCTCAAGAAGCTTACAATTTGAACAGAAGTGATTACATTGGGCTATAATACAAGGTAAGTTGAGGTAGGAACCAAGTAGTCAGCCAGGGAAAGCTTCACGGTGTTGCAGCCCGAGCACTGTTGTTTAGAACCTGGCCCCCATACATGGAGGGCAAGGAGAGACCCACAGACCAGGCAGACTGCTCCAAACTGGTACACGGTGGTTTCAAGGAGCAAGGGAACTTACTTTCAAGGCCTGTGTTGGGCAGCTGCAAGAGGAGTTGAGCTCTGCGCCTACCTGCCAAACCTTGGAAGTTTATACAGAGGCCTTAACGGAGGTCAGTCACACATACCATCCGGATGGTCTCAACACACCTTACCCTCTCATAGTTGCATCCTTGAAAACGGCTCCTGCTGTGGGAACAGCAAGCAGAACATAAATTCCAAGGACAGGGGAGAGTGTGAGGAGTCTCTCATTTCCCCAGAGGTCTCCCTCACTTGTCCATCAGAGGTCATGACCGCTCAATGACTTCCTCCCACAACAGTGGGCATTAGGAGCCTTTTTTATGTGGGAAAGCAGCTGCGCAGAAATTTTAAAAAGCACGAAGGCACTCTGGATGGAGCCAGTAGCTTGCACAAATTCATGGAGCCTGGAATTCCGAATTGCTGGCTCCTTTCTGGCCACATATTTGTTTACTGACCACAATATTGAAAAAGGAGCCCTCGTTCTGTTTAACTCAGTTACTTGTACATAAACCCCCAGATAATTAGAAGTTTCAGATATGAAGAGAAAAGGAGGGAGACAGTGTAAGTGAAAAATCAGTAAAAGCTGTGAGCAAGGAGCAAGACTGGAAGCCCTGGACTTGGGACTTTGTGTAGCTGTGATGCTCACCAGCCATGAGCCATCAGGACACTCAGCATCTCCAAGCTTCGGTTTCCTAAGCTCTAGAATAAGGGAACTAGACCAGGGAAGCCTCTAAGGTCCCTTCCAGCTCTAAACATCCACAACAGGCTGATTACCTGGGTTCTTGCCTCTCATTGTTTATTATTCATTAGCATCACCACAGGAGCAATAAAAGGAAGTGAAATTTAACCAGCTGGTTTTGCTGCTTCTCATTTGGGAAAAGGTTTGATGAACCAGGAGCTGAGAGCTATGTGTTGGCTTCAATTATCAACATGTTTCCTGCCCCCATTACACCACCGATCATCAGGATTTTACTGTATTTTTCTGTTGACATTCCTTTTTTAGTATTTATGAAATTATTTTCATATCCTGTTCAACATCTCTTTATAGGTACACAGAGTCCTAGAGGCTATTATATAACAGCTGAATATTAAACACTAGGTACTGTATAATTTACTAGAATTATCTCAGCCATTGCAAACTTTTGTTCTGCTCACATAAATGAGATGTTATCTCCCATCTGTTGAACTGTGGCCATTAAAATGGACAGACAATACTGTTTGTAACATCAGAGTCACAGATAATAACCATAGTCTTTTCATGTTCAATAATCATACTGATAACCAATATTCAGGCTGAACTTATGTGCCAGGTGCTGTAGTAAATGCTTTCTATGCTAAGGGCTTATATTATTGTCCCTCACATGCTGGGAAGGAAGCTCCATGAGGGCTGGGAGGACTTCTGTTTTGTTCACTGGGGATTCCTTCAGGGCATAAGAACAGCGCTCTGTACCGCTTGGGCATTCAGATTCCGATGGTTTGTCTCCAGAGCCCACACTAGGTACTGCCATACCGTGACTGTAAACCCGTGTTATATCCCTAGCAACCATTTATTTTGCCCGCCAGTCTACCATCTGGGCAGGAAACTTCCCACAGCATCAGGAGCTGCAGCCCAGCTGAGGCAGAAGGATGGCCCGTACCCGCCGGCTTGCTCCCGCGGTGCGCCGGGGGGGGCGCCGACTGCAGCCAGAGCCGCCTTGGGTCTTCTCCGCGCAGCCGGCACCTCCTCTCGGCAGACTGCCTGCTTTCCAATGGGGAGCAGCCCCGGAGAGGCAGCCAGGCAAACATCCATCCCGTTTGACTTGGCCTAGGAAACCCCATCGCATCACTTCTGCCGTACTGTTAGACAACGCAGTCGGCAAAACCCACCCAGCTGTAAGAGAAAGAGGCGTAGACTCTGCCTGCGGTTGAGGGAGTGGCGAAGTTCCGGCAAAGTGTGCAGCAGAAGAAATGTGGTCACTTGGGAGAACATCCGATCTGCCACAGCCTGTGCCCCCAAATCTGCTTTTCCTCAAAGGAGATTTGTACTTAGCTAAAGAATGATTGGAATGTCCAGCTAGTCTGTGATTAGGTGAAACTTTCCTATCTGATGACACGGAGAGGAGGTGTTCACTCGTCGGCCACAATAATGTATGAAGGTTGATAATAGGTTTTCCCATGCCTCTTGATAGATAGGAAGGGAATTCCCAGGCCCTGGGCCATGGAACTAGAGGGAAAACCAATCTGTGTATTAAGCTGAAAAGGTGAAGTAAAGACAAAACCAAAGAATAGACACTGATCAGCCAAGAAAGAAAACAGGTATTTATTGAGCCCCTGCCATAATGGGTACTTTGCTTAGATTATAAAATCTTCCTTGCCTTTGCACTGACCAAAAAGGCTTTAAGTCATCATAAAGCCTGAAAATTTCTCAATGTGCCATCTCCTTAGTTAATCCCCACAGCAGTCCTGTCATCATCATTACCCTAAGAATACCTAATAAGACTCTTCTAAAACTGGCCTCTCTTGGTGTAGTAGGATGACTTTAGCTGCAAGTGAGGTGCAGACTTTTCACTGAGAAGGTGTCAGAGTATTCTGATTGGGCTGGTTCAGGTCACATGCCTCCCGCACATCAATGACTAATGCCAGAGAAAGGTAACAGGCTGATTGGCATAAGAAAAAAGCCCCACAGCCTTTGGACATTTCTGTCATTTAAGCTTCTCCTGGCAGCTTATACAGAAGTTAAATACAACTGGCTCCATGCAGCCTATGCTTCACTTCCCTTCACCCCAAGAAATGGTCATTTGTTTCTAATAGTTGTTTTCTTCTCCAAATCAATTCCCCATCTGTGACAAAGTATCTCTTCTCATCCAATTCTTTGAAATCCTGAAGCATCCGGAAGGATGTTTTTATAAAATGGTTCCATTTACTAGTAATTCTATAGCAAAGCCCCAGAGGATCCTGATGCAGGGAAGCTTTAGTATAATATTCTCTTCGATGCAATAATTCAGCCATTGTACTCCTATCATGGAATCCTTGGTTTAATGAGAGTTTTGCTGCAAGGCATCCAATATCCATCCAGTGCACTTAAGAAAGTCAGGTAAAACAGGTGTTTCCTCAATTAACAATTGAAAATTTTGTTACATGAAAAATAAGTGAACCAAAATAGAAGATAATATTCCTAGGAAAACATACCAGTACTCTACATTTCCTGTTTTCCCAAAGACCTTGAATGTATCATTTCATATATACATTTTTAAAGCAATTAATTTAATGCATGCTTTGCTAAGAAAAATACCCCCAAAAAAATCATTATTCACAGCAAACTCACATTAACCAGCCTGTGTTTAATCAAAAAAATCTGTCAGGCAGTGAAGTGTAATTCTTAACTTCTAAAGAATTAACATAAGTAATATGGTGAATTGAAATTTCTAATTTTATGGGAAATCTTGTTTAAATATTTAAAAATAAGTAATGTCCGTGTTTCCAAATATTTTTAATCATGTTGTTTCTTAAATTAACTCACTGGCAGTTTCTTTTAACTTTGGCAAAATCTGAACTTCTCCTACATCATACAAACATCAAATCCATTGGTCATATCCTAATTATAATTCAGCATTGATTGCTCTCGGAAGGCATCTATTCTAACACACCACCTAAGACAGTTCTCACAATGGAGTGAAGTGAACTTTAATTCCATTCCCAACTCCCTCATTAAATTAAGCAAGTAATAGGAAATCTAGCTCCTCACTTTTTCCTAAATATTACAACTAAAAGAAAAACCAAAACTATTTGGAGTCCTAAATTGATTATCTGAAAACATTTCAAAATATCCTCAGAGCAAGTCTAGGGAAGAAAGACTGAAGGA